TTAATTCATTAAAATCGCTAGATATGCTAGGCGAGAGACTTACTCTTACTCTTGCTTACTCTTAATCGATTAAAACAGTGATTTATTATAAATATATATGTGATTATGAATATGATGTATGCCAGACTTAGAATATATATGCCTATGTACTATGTACACTAAAATATTTGATCAAATGATAGGCTACAAAAATGTGAAACAGGTGCGAAAATAATTTGTTTAAATATATATTATAAGTTGAAATTTATTAATTTTTGTCTAATTTAATTTAACTTTTTTATTTGTTATTTTCCATAACTTAATTTTTTATAATTTATAGAGAAAGATATTATTTTTTTAGCTAAAAACTTGAATTTTTTTCAATGAATTTCTAAAGAAATTTTTACAAATTTTCTAATCTACTTTTAAATTTAAATTCGTTCTGTTATAAGCATAAATAAATGTAGTCAACGAAATGTGCTCAAAATAAGTATGTGAATGCCCACCAAAAAGTTGTGAACGTAATCTTTTTTAATTGAAAAATTATGCAGTTTTTTTTGTTTTGTGCCCATTTTCCAAAAGCCACATGAAAACAAAGCCACAAGCATGGTGTGTTGTAGGTTAGGCTTATGAATATATATATATATATATATATATATTTATATTGCTTACTTCTTGTGCGCTAATGCCCTGCAGCATATTGAAAATGGGTATGATGCAAAAAATAGCTTCTTATATATATGTTGATCAGGATCTATAGCCAAGTCAATTTGATCTCTCTTTTGCCCCTGTATCCTAATTTATGAAAGCGTCAATCTCGGGACTGTCGAGTTTAACGCAAATCAAGTATGCTTCATATAATCGATAACTTTCTATGAAATCGATTTATATTGATTTAAATTTGAGCTCATCATCAGTTTGTCACTCTTAAAAACGTTACAAAAATTATGTTTTCCATATGAAAGGTAACTTCTAGTCGAGCAGTTCCGACTGAAGAGCTATCTCTGATTTGCTTTTGACTGGCTTTTTGGCTAATTTGTTGAGCTCTCAACAATTTTTTTTAATGAATTCTTTAAATATATTAATATGCAAACGGCGGCAGTAGAAGCAGCAATAACAACAACAGCAACACAACTTGGCTGACAGTGAAAAGCCGCGTTAAATGTTCTGCAGTTCTTGAAAGCACCGTTGCTCTGGTGCGTTATGGTTTGTTGACTGCCGGCGACAACTTCCGACGCACCACCAACAGCAACAGCAACAATAACAGCCATTGCCATAAAAAGGCCAACAACCACAATCATAGAACAACTGGGCACCCCGTTGCGGGTGGCTTGGGCCGCTGCGTTGCCCCACAGTGGTGTAAAAGCGTGCAAAGTGCCGCTGACTGTTGATGAGTAGGCGGTTCAGAGGGGGTGTGGCTGATTTGTAAATTGGTTCTAACTGCTTTCTATTACTGTTGCTGTAGCTGTTGCTTGCGGTGGCTTTAGCTACCCAAATTGTATTTCATTTAGCTGTTAATTAAATTTTCCACACTTTGGCCAACTTTTTCGGCCAACGCCAGCGGGATGCGCCGCAGTGGGAGGTGGGAATTGGTGGCTGGCTGGCAGGTGTGCCATAATAAAAGCCAATAACAATGGCGTATGACAAAACACTTGCTAATGAGCCAAATTGGCTGACTGCAGTGAAAAGTCATCATGGCAAGCCAAATGAGGTAATAATCAAAATAGAACAATGAAGTTGAAAAAGCCGAAGACGGAATGCCCTTAAAGGTAAACATATATAAAAACATATAGATTATGAGAATGATTTTGCTTGTGAAAGTAAGTTTACTAAGCTTTATTTTAATTATAAATAAAATTATATAAGGAATATAAATATAAATATAATATAAAGTATCAAGATCATTTTAATGATAATTTCAAAATATATGTTGCTCTTCTGCAATGCTTTACACATTTATTTGTCCAACTTGACCCTTGTAGAAATCAATTTTTTCTACAGAAGTCATTTAGATTAATCGTCTAGCTTGGCAGATAAGCTAGACGAATGTGTGAAACGCAAAAACTCATAATGCGATTGATCGTATCTATGTGAGTTACAAATATTCTTCATATAGTGTTGAACTAGAAGTTGAAAAAGAATTTAAATTGATATTTAGTTGAGGAGCTTAGCTTCGAGGTTACGTCAGCATGTTTTAGTACCTTAATTTGTAGCTTCTTTTCTCTCAAGATATCAAACGAATCTCTTCGATGGCATGCAAATAACTGAACCTAGTGGGATCTGGAAATTGTCTTTATTACTTTAAATTTTTGTGTTTAGTATCGTGACCTACTTTCAGTCATTGAAGGAATCTAGTTCTAGATACCTCAGAACTGTCGCTACATTTTAGAATCTATGTTATTGCTTATGCTCGCTATATAATTGTGAACATAAAATATAGCAAAATAAAAATTGATTGTTGAATTAAAAGTTGACTTGTTTTTATATAAATATTTGCTGTAAAGTAATTTAAAGGTTTTAAGGCAAAACATTGCCATACTACACATTGCCCCAGCTCAAGCTGTACTTAGTGAATTCTTAGAACAATTTTTTTAACTTAATCAATAACTTATTTATAAATATAAATTTATTTTTTTTATATTTTTATATAAAAGAGAGAATTGATATCATCATGCTACGGAATATATTTGACTTCTATCTGTTACAAACTCCTATTAAATATTATAATATCCCATGTTAGGGAGTATAAACTGTTGGATATTTAAATGAAACCCCATTGCATTAGTAGCTTATATATAGAGCTATCTTTCTCTATGTTTTTGCACAATTATAATACACTTACAAAGAGTATATCTCAAATGATTCCAAGCTAAATGAAACACCTGCTGGTTTTTTTTTTGGCAAGTGCAAACAATATAAAATAAAAATCTCACCTGAACTTCTACCCTAAACCAATTTGCACGCCCTTCTTTTGTTTTGTTGTTTTCGTATTCTCATTAATTGGAATTTCTTTAGTTTTGACTGCTGTTGGTTGAAGGGGGTCAACAACAGCAGCAGCAACAACAAAACCACCAACAATAGCAACAACCGCAAGTAGCCTGAACACCGGTAGCCCACAGTGTTCCCCTCTGCTCACCTTTTTGGATTTCATGGGTTGGGCTGGGTCTTTTGGTTTTTTGTGTCTTTTGTCGCGCCTGAATGCGACTCGATAAAGCAGACAATGGACAAATGTATTAATAAAGTTATGAAATTCACAATTGTACAAAGCACAGCATGCGGCTGGGGAAAAGCTGAGAGGGGCAACACCTAAACTGTGGAATAGAGTAGCATAACAATTATATAATAAAAAAGTGTGCTTAATGCGATTTAAATGCAAAGAAGTAGAGCAAATGATTATGAGATCTTTAAACATATTTTGAATAATTGAAATTTGACAGCTTTAGTTTAGGTGAGAATTGAATTGAGTGCGGATTTCAAAGGAACTGAGTCAATAAATAATAAAAGAAGCATTTGTTGGACTTAGTAAACATAGACTTAGACTTAGTCTTAGACTAGGTAAGTATATTGAATAGTACCTAAGGTTTAAAGACCAAACAAACCAGCAAAATCTGTCCGATTCGAAAGAAATAAATTCATAAAATCAAGTGAAAATAGATGGAAGGATTCGAATAAAAGCTAGATTTTTTAGGTATATATCACTAATACTGCTGCAATTGGAAAATATATAATAAAAATATATAAAAATAAATAATATATATTTTTTTCTTAAGTATTTCAGCCCAAGATGAACTTGTGGGGAAGAGAACAGAAGGCATCGTAGAAAAAGAATCGAACCACGCAGATGATTCACTTTAATTGTTAACTAACCTTTAAATTGAATAAATTTACTGAATATTAGTCTAGTTTTTTGTATGTATAGAAAAAGCATTATAAATGAATTGAATATTGAATATTGTCTAAATACAACTTTTTTATTTTTCATCAAACTCTATGTATCATTTTAATAATAAATTTCTGTAAAAAATTGAAAACATTATATTTCATATATATATATATATATCACACAATAAATTATTATTTTGTGTAGTAATAGTGTAAGTGGCTAATTGCTGAGCTTTCAATACAATTATGTTATAACAGTTTTACGAAATTTGGTTGCGCTAAGTGTTATAATTAACGGCCACATTGAATGCAAACTTATCTCATTGCGGTTGATTGCATTGCAATTTATTTGGTTTTCTTTATTGGTATTTTGTGTTTGTTGAAGTAAAAGTAAAAATTTGAGTCAATTTGCGGCCAACACTTGAAGCTGTTTATTTATATTTGTTTGCCTATTTATCAAATAATACGCCATGGCAACCACCCACAAAATGAGCCCAATCATCCAACCAACCCCAAACTACAACTCAATTTGCTGTGAGCGTTCGGCCAAGCGTCCAGCGAACGACTGCTAACAGCTGTTTTTTCTTTGCCGTATAACAGATGTGTGTGTGCCGTATAACAGTGAGAGCACGAGAGCAAAAATAGTAAACAACAAACACAAACCGGCTGTTGTTGTTGCTGTTTGTGCCGCTGCCTCTACCGCTGCTGTTGCACTCTGTTTCACTTCCGTTAAAGAGAGCGCAAGAGCGTGAGAGAGCGTGAATGCAAAGAGAGCGCTTATAGTCTAATTACTGTTGCTTTGCTGCATTTTCTGCTACGTTTTCTGAGTCGCGCATCTACTACTATTTGGAACAGCTGCTACTGCTGTTAAGTACAAATATATTTTGGCAAGCGGAAGCAATACCAGAGACCGAGAGAGAGAGCGAGAGAGAGAGAGACGAAATGAGACGAGTTAAAAAACCGACTCGGTCGACTTTGGCTTCGGGCCGACGACAAAGCGAACAGCAGAACAAGAAAACAAACCAGTTAACTGCTTTGGCTTTTGGCGTTGGCGTTGGTAGCGACAGCAGCTCGAACTCTTTTGGCCAGCTTGGTTTCAGTTGAGCTTTGCCAGCCGAAACGACAACAACGAACACGACGCTGCGTTTGGGTGCAACACGAGTTGAGCTCTGAGACTCACGATTTTTTGACGAGTCCACGCGTCGCGTACAACTGCAAAACAGCCAAACAAACATACAACAAGTCTAACAAAATTGCAAAAAAAAAAACCAAACAAAATAAAACAAAAGAAAAATAAATAAAAACAAAACAAATTGAAGACAAACATCAACATAAATAGCAAACGGTAAATTTAGTTGCAACAACAACAAAAACAACAGAAAAACTTGCTAATTAAGCAGCAAAAGCGCAGCGCCCAAACCCCCCTACAACAAACACGCAGAAACCAGTTTTTAGCAATTAAAATGAAAAAAATATAAGAATATATAAATATATATATATTAAAGCAGCCTATAGATATATATAGATATATCTCTAGATGTATGTATATATATATATATATATATATATATATATATATTTGTATATTGCATTAAACTTAAACAAAAGGGCAGCTCGTGCTTGACAAAAACAAAACTGCAAGTGTATAAGTACTTGAGTGTGTGTCTATGTGTGTGTGCTGTGCAGTGCTGCCTTCTAAACAGCCTTGAAAGCTGCCTCGCATCAGCCTTTGCTGCACTGTCAACCGAGTAGCAGCAGCAGCAGCAGCAGCAGCCAACAACAAAGCGTTCCACAAGTCACAACAAAAGCAACAGCAGCAGAGGCATGAGCCCAAGCAGCTAAAGAGATGTTGCTAGCAAGAAGACGAAGCGCAGCTGACTTTATGACGTCGCCAGCTTGGCGTGTTAACCTGGCCAAGAGGCAGAGGCAACTGCTAGCAGCGAACAGCAACAGCTACCTGGCTAGACATGAAACCTGGTGTTGTGTCTATCTGTTGCTGACTGCTTGCAACTGCAACATACACACACACACACACACACGCACACACACTAAAAAGGGCAGCAGAAAAAAATATAAAATGCGAAATTCGCTTTTGTTTTTTTTTGTTTTTTATGAGTTTTTCATAAATTCTGCAACAGTTGCAACAAAAAAATAAAACAAATAAAAGCAAAAGAAAATAGCTAAAAGGCGCGCAAAATTTCTACAGACACATGTATGGTTGTATGTGTGTGTGTGTGTGTGTGGAAAAACCGGTTGCACTTCAGTTTTTTATTTGATTTTTTAACGCTTGGCTGTGGCGAAAATAAATAAAAGCGATTAACTTGAGACAGTTTTAGTGGCCAGACCCCCAAATGCAGCCGCTGGCCGGCAGCTTTTTTATAGCTAGTTTTTTTCTCTGTTTGTTTCGGCTAGCCTTTTGCATATTTGCAACATAAATCTGCAGCGCATAAAGTCCCCAGCTATATAGATTATATATATATATATGTATTCCGAGTGTCGTGCAAATGCTGGCATCTCCTTTGTTTGGCCTTTTTAATGCTGCATTTTGGCTTCTTTTATTTTCTGGCATTTCCCTTTTGTTTTTGTTTGAAAAGGAATTTCATAATTTCATTATTTCTTTTAAGCATTCGTGTTTAGTGAACGGAGTCTAAAGAAAATAAGCATATATAAATTAAATAAAAACTGAAAATTGCTGTAAAATTTATATAAATTATGATTTACATTATGTTTTTTCGTGTCATCTGATTTGTGGAGTTTTTTGCATTATTAATTGTTATTTACGACAGCCGCTGAGGGCAAAAGTCGCCGAAGGCAAAAATAAGGAAAAACAGCAAAATATCATAAATAAATAAAAAGCAAAAAGAAAGATAAACATAATCGAAATCGAAATCAGAAAACAAAAATCAAAAATCAAAAAATTCCAACAAGACATTGGACAGGTGTCAGCCAGCGCAGAAACGGATTTTCATTAATCAAAAGGTGAGCAACAAATTTGATTTAGTCGTGCCAAAGGGCTGTGCTCCATCGAGCTTGGTGGGGGCAAGGCAAGAGCTGAGCCTGTTCAAATACAAAAATGCTGCCAATTTGCAATGTTTGTGCTCGATTCTAATTGCATTTCGCATCGAATAGTTAAGTGAAAGCATTAGTTAAACGACCTAAAAGGGCTTGCAAATGAATGAAATGTATTTCAATTGCCAAATTGCGAAAAAGGCAAGAAATTTGCAAAATTTGCAGGAATTTTCGTATTGAACAGAATCAAGAACTGCAAAATTGAGACACTTTAAATTCATTTTATTTTAAAATTGTATATGAATACAATTTATAGCATTGCTAAAATCCTTTTCTTGAATGAGTTGTTTATTATTTATTGTTAAAAGTTTAAAGGAAAATTAATTCAATTTTTAAATATCTTATATCTGGTTAATACTTGAAGTTAGGGTCTCAAATTTAGCATTTAGTTTCTTGAGTATTATATACAATTTTAATTTTTTTTTTTTTAATTATTTAATTATTTGATCATATGATCATAGGTTATGCTCAGCTAGACATTAATGTCTCTTGTCTTAACTAAGAGCTGTAGTCACTTATTGGTAATGAAATGTTGTCTAATGCTTATGTAGATAGTTTAATTAAAAAGCTGAATTTCCCTATTCTATGCATTCATATATTATATAAATATATTTCTGAATTTACCTATTCTATATAATATGGCTAAATGAAACATTTGCTACACTTTAATGATTTCTTGAGTAAAGTTAAAGTTAGAGTTAGTAATATTATTCTAAATGAATTTGGTTTATAGATTCTTTTTGTCTCTATTTGATGAATAATTAGGATAGAATTTTTCTACATTTTGGAAACTTTGATGTATAATTGTTAGAGAAGCTTCACGAAAATAAATTCAGATTTCAACTGCTTTATTTACTAGTCTTATATACCTACTCTAAAAATATATAAAAATATTTTTAATTACTAAAAGCGTCATATTTGTCAAGCATATATAATTATGCTTAAACTTGTGTTTCTGTTTTACCTGAAAAGCATTTCTCAAGCTTCATTCTCAAGGGCTGCTTGCTGCAGCTAAGGGTTGAAACTTTTATTACTTGGAGCTAAGTTTGTGGAGGAGTTTTGTCAAGTGCTCATGCTGCAATATTATATTGAACTGTATGAAATGTTAAGACTTGAACAGTAAAATATCATAATATATTATCGATTATAGATTTTAAATAAGGCATATGAAATTTGTCAATATATATATGAAAGATAATATTATTATATATTATTATTAATTAATTAATTAATATGATAAATTTTAAGTTGACAATTTGCCAACTTAAGTCATATCATGATTTGCCTTCAACTTCAGCTGGTTTCTCTCTTTTATATTCAACCCTTGATTGGCGCTTTCTCTGGCATTATAAATCCTGAATTGAATTGTCCTTAATCGAAAGCCTTCTGCATTTGGCTGATTTGGTAATACATTAATTACTGAAATGCCAAAATGTTGGCTAATTACGACAATTGCTGCTGCCCTCTGGGACTGTCAAATGTTAAACAATTTCAAAGGCACAAAGGCAAACTAATTAAATTAAATCGTTTAGCGGCTGAAGCTTGAACTGAAATTCAAAAACTTGCAATTAAATCAAAAGCACAGCATTTGAATTATGCAGGTGTACAAAAGGCAAAATGCGCATACGCCGCGTGGGTCCAACTGTTAGAGAGTTTTGCTAATTGCTGCCTATGATTCGCACACATTAACGCGCTACCCAACACTAGCTAACTAACGGTACGTGCTACGAATTATCAAAACAAATCAATTAAAAGAGCAGGAAAAAAATACTTTTGACTTTTGCCCATTCAAGCAAACCAAATCAAAATTTGATCTGCATATCAGTAGTTATTGTTTATGTTTATGTTTATGTTTATGCGCACGCCCCTTGCCAGCCCAACCGCCCCTTTGTGAATCTGCATAACAATAGCCCCAAAGCTGCTTAAATGCTGCCATTTCGTAGTCAACAACATTTTAATTAAAAATCTTTTGCTAGGCTGCGTTTTTGGGTTGGGGGCTTCAGATTTTCGCTTCTCTGGCTTATGAATATTTGCACGTGTGTGCGCCAAGACCCGCGCCGTGCGCTGGCCCTGCCACGCCCACGCCCACCAAACAGCCGACGGGCAATAAATGTTAACAAGCATTCCAAAAAATTTGCATAAAATGTGCGCGTCTCGTTTTATTGCCCGTTCATCAAGTGGAAGAGCGAGTATATTAGTTTTTTTGTCAGAGTTCAAGCTGGCGAATTTTGAGTGTTTTATGAGCGTTTTGATGGGGCATAGCTCACAGCCTGGCGGACGTTTGTATGTGGATTTCTAGGTGCATATTTAAACTAGAGTTTAACTTATTTATTTATATATTTTGCTATCTTTGTTTAACTTATTTTATTATTTATTTTCTTATCTATTAACATATAGATATATATGTCATGCTCTAAAAATGTGAAGCTATTTTTTGAGCTCATCTGTATTATGATTAGAATTAATATATATTTGCCTTTAAGAGACGTGGTAAATTAGTAAAAAAGATTTGCTTTAATAGTTTTAGTGCTGGAAGTTGAGCTGCTCTATAAATAAATAAAGTTGAGATAGATAATTTATAAATTTAGATGATTCGTCAAAGCCTGTAGGCATTAAAATTAGATATTCAAACCATTTACAAAGGTTTTCCTAAAATATATGTAAAATATAAATGAAGACGTGTCAGACACCATAAGCTATTTTTATTCTGGATCAGGCTGCAGAGTCGAGTCGAGTCGAGTCGAGTCGAGTCGATCTAGTCATATTAGTCTGTTTGCTTAAGCATCTCTAACAGACGTTTTCTACATACTATATGCCATAAGAAAATATAAAATGTTTAATTTAGCTTCTCCTATAGCATGTGCTGCTCAAGTTTGTTTCACATAATCGATAACTTGTGTCATTTCAATGAAATCGATCAAAACTCTTAGCGAACTTCAGTTATTAAATGACAAATCTTACGCGCTACAATCACAAATCTTTGAGCTGAAGAGTTTGTACTGCGAGCGAGCATTAAGCAGTCGGTCATCACATATTTAGCTTGCCGCACTATTGGGGGCTTGTGAAATTCAAAACGCAAAAAGACTCAATTTTTGCATTTCTAATTTTTTGGTTTTGTTTTGCTACGCAATGAAAATGTTGTGCGTGTGTGTGTGTGTGTGTGTGGCAATTAAATGGACAGCGAATTAATCACAATAATTTTATGCAAAAATTTAGTTTTTGCCAAAGCTGTCGATAGTAAATGCGTGCGAAAATATTTTCGTAAAATTATGCAAATTTATTTCTAATTTATGTTAATTAAAAAACCTGACAAAAATAACATTTTGATTTGCCAAAAATGATAATGAATATATATATATATATATATATATGTATCTATAGTTGCATTGCTGCTTAGCCAAGCGCTTAAATATTTCGGTTGTTGTTGTTTTTTTATTGTTTATTGCACAGAGATTTGGCAAATGAAGCACATTTTGTTGTGTTTACATGGGCATTATTATTATTATTATTAGCAAAGTGAAACAAATATAAATTTCAGTTGAAATAGATTTAGTATAGTAAATTAATTTGTGCAAATTATTATGCAATTTAAATTGATCTGTTTAGCATAAGTTGAGATTACTAAATAGAAATAGTTGTTGTGGAAGTTAGAAAAGATTTTATAGGTCGATAACTGGCGACTTTAACGAGTTCTATTAATAGTCATTAAGATCTAATAATCATTAAGATCTAATTTTGTGAATTTACTGCTTACCTCTTACTTAAGCTGTCTCTCAACTTGGAACTAGGCTTTAACCCGCATCAAACTTCAAGGTTGAGCCCTTGCATAGGTCCTCTGTGTTTCTTTGTCCAGGTCCCATTAGTTCCGCCGCAATACCTTTTTGGGGTATGTCAGAGACTCTTTGCCAGGCATCTTTGTCTTTGCGCATTTGCTCTATTATAGTTTCTTCTGCAGTTCTTGCTTCCTATCCTATCTTCCTATCTTCCTATCACTCTCACTCTCTCTTACTTTCCTCTCTCTCACTCTCTCACTCTCTCTTTCTCTTTCTTTTCCTCCCTCTCTCTCTCTCTCTCAACCTCACTCTCTCACTCTCTCACTCTCTCTCCATCCCTCTCCCTCTCTTTCCATCCCTCTCTCACTCTCTATCCATCACCCTCTCTCTGCCGCTCTCTCTTTGCCTCTCTCTCTCTCTCTCTGATTCTTTGCGTCTCTTTCTGTCACTGGTTCCGCTTCCATCCAGAATAAAACTCAACACAAACTGCAGCAGCCTCTCAATAATAACGTATTTACACTTACTGGCGCCTCTCTATGCGCTTCACAAAGATTCAGTTGAAGCCTCATTTAAATTTTGCGCTTTGTCTGGCATTTGATTTGAGACGTCACTTGAGCAATTGCCTGTTTATGTGGCAACCTGGATTCGTGTTGCTCTTGCTTGGCGCCACGCCCTCGCTGCCCAGCACGCCCTGCGGCTGAGCTGCCACAGATATTTGCGTTTAATTGAACGAAAAAGCTTATTTAACAATTGGGCGTCATGCAGTGAATTTTCCAATTGACTGACGCTCAATTGAATTAATAGTCCGCCCCATAAAGGCATGTGTCTGTGTGTGGGCGTGGCATTACATTGAATTATGGCATCAATTGGAGTATCTTTCAATTTTGCTCTCCATTTTCAATCTCATACATTTTATTTTTTGCCTGTTAATTAATTTTGCATTAATTTCAATGCAATTAAAATGAATATGAATCAACAAACAGATTTGCATTCAGCTTTTGTTACATGCCATTGGATTCCGTTTACTTTTCCAATTGCAAACTCTCCAAATGGCCATAAATCATATGAGTTATTGTTGGGTTAATTAAAACGAAAAAAGAAACAATAACAAAAAACAAGAAATAAAAAAAAAAAATT